AGAGGCGATGGAGGCTGAAGTGGGACAAAATAATGTGTTTAAATAGGGTGCAAACCCTAAATATTAGGGTTTCATCCAAGCAGTCCTACTCGTCGATTCGGGATCCCGACTCGTCGAGTAGGTTACTTAAAACCCGTGTCCATAATCTAGTCTACTCGACGAGTTGGGCCTCCAACTCGTCGAGTCCCGATGTAAAAATGTAGTACTTATATTTAAAAATACGTACCAGGAACCGGGCGTTACAATAATATCAAATAACAATGTGGTAACTTGGGGTCTGCTTATTGGCTCCTGCTAATCGTACACATCACATACTCGTTGATTATCTTGAAAACCATTTGAAAATCATTTTTAAAATCTTTTTCCTTAGTTTGAGACTGGGTTCACACGAGTGTTCCTCCAGTTCACTAAAACCAAGGCTCTGATACCAACTTGTAACACCCATAAAAATCATGAAAAATTTTAGACTTTTAAAACCAATCCACAAGTCATCATTTTTTACGAAATAGTTTTCAAAACATGTTTAATATCAGAGTTTAAAAATCATAAATAAAAACACGAGGAGGTGCACGGTCACGCCTTCGCCTTCCCGCGATCATCTGAGGTACCAGAAACATAACCCAAACTGTAAGCCTAAAGCTTAGTGAGTTCCCCCAAAGGACCAACACACAAACAAATAACACATATACAATAACAGCATACTATGGGTCCAATCAACCATCGGGTTGGAATACCCCAGGCCCCTCAACCATTGGGTTGGAATACCGACATACTATGGGCTCAATCAACCATCGGGTTGGAATACCCCAGGCCCTCAACCATCGGGTTGGAATGCCAACATACTATATGTCCAATCATCCTCGAGATGGAATACCCTCGGGCCCATTCAACCATCGGGTTGGTATGCCTCGGCATGTTGGCTTACGCACAAAGCAGTGAAGCCTCAACCACCGACCAAACATGTGCACATATAACATATAATGATATAAAAGTATACAGCCAGTCAAACAGATCTACAGATCACTAAGCATATCATCATCATATATACCGGGATACTGATCCAACAGATCACTACTGTACAATAACATGCATAAGAGGATATCAATCCAATGGGCCGACATTGGTGCTTTCAACCCGTAAGTACAGTGAGGAAAACTTACCTTGCAAACTGAACATAACTAATGAGGCCCGATTCCGAATCTCAGCTCTCTAATCGATACCTATTTCCACTAAGTGACAAATTCCGTCAAAATCCCAAAATGCCCACAAGGTCAAACTTGGTCAAAGTCAAAGTCAAAGTCAACTGGTCAAACCCACTAAATCAACCGAGTCAACCCAGCCGAGTCAACTCAACAAGGCTGACCCATGCAAGTACGCGGGGCGTACTCCGGAGGTATGCTTAGCGTACTCGAAGCCTCACAGAAGACCACCATCGGGGTGGTTCGTAGGGCGTACCCTCGCAACCTCCAAACTCCATTTAGTGCTTAATGGAGTATGCACTTAAGCCCATACTTCAGATCTACGGTCCAAATGCACCCTAAAGTCATAAAAGTTTCCAAATTTATGACTTTACAAGTCCAGTAAGTTCTTAACACAAGGTCTTAATCCATTAAGACCTTCTACAAGATGCATGAAACAATTCTAGCAGTTGGGACCTCATTTTTATGGCTTAGGACCCCTCCTAGGGTCTGAAAGGACAACTCAAAATGACAAGAACAAACCATGCACAAGATGGGACCTTTGGGACAAGAAAATCAACATAAAACACCAAAAAATGGGATCTAACAACCAAGACATCAAGGTATGGACTTTATACCTTTTGGAGCTTCTCAAGAAGGCAAAGATCCCAGATCCACAAGCTTGCTTCCACTGCAAGGCTCCTCAATGCAACTTCTCCATCCTTCAACACACCAAGAACACACTCTTGAGCTCAAAACACACACTAAGAGGGCTAGGGTTTGCAAAAATGTCTCAAAGGACGTGGAGGCTGAAAAGGTGTAGGAAGATGAGACATAATGTTGCTTAAATACCACCCAAACCCTAAAAATTAGGGTTTGCCTCCCGAAGCTAGTACGCCCTGCATATATAAGTGTACACCCAGCGTACTAGGGCGCGCCCTAGTACGCTCAACGTACACACATGTACACATGACGTACTCCTCCTGCCATATTTACGAAATTGCCACTAGGGCTTCAAAGCACAACTTCTTGGACTTAGGGACCAAAATGACATGAAATAGAATTATAGGGATGAATTTAGAAGTACCTAAACATCGGGATGTTACATCCATCAACTTTCCATTACATAATATAGGTTTGAAAGAGGTATTTCTTTTAGCAATAATGGTACATGCAAATGAAGATGGGTGCAAGAATCGTATTTTGAAAAAAAAAAATCTTAAACAATGATTCATTAGTCTTCTATTTTTTGATTGATTGAATTCATTATTCACATTTTTTTATCTGATTATGTTGTTGGCTCAGCTCCTACATCAATAAATTCAAGGCATATTACATTCTTCTTGGCTTCCACCTTTATGTTTGAACAATACAACCTCATTCTTACATTACAGCCTACCAAAACAAGGTTGATATTTGGATCTCCTTCAGATTTAATGGGGCTAGTGCCAAATGGATTGGCAACAAGAGGGGTGGTTGCTAATGACAAAGATTGATCGTTGATACTAGGGTTGTGTGAGTTGTTTGATTTTTTTTTTCTTTTAGTTGTTGATTTTGATCGATAAAAAATTGAGTTTCATATGTTTGGTGATTAAAGTTTTATTGTTTGTTGATTGAAGTTCTATGTAAAAAATATAATGTTATAAATTAAATGGTAAATCATAAAGGAATTATTATAAATAATATTGTATGAGGGTAATATAGTCATTTTATACAGTCGGTCGGATGCAAAATCAGACAGTATATTTCAGTCAGAAACTAACCCAGTCAGAACTTCTAACTCAATCAGCCTCTAACTCAGTCACGAACTATCAAAGAACCCCTAACTTACCAAAAAATTAAAAAAAATAGACAAAATTTCATAATTGGTCAATGTGGTTTGCAAAATATTGCACTTTGAAGATTTTTATAAAAATTCACATCTTTGGTCTCTATGGTTTTAAAAATTGCATGAATGGTCCTTCTCGTGTTAACTTTAACTTTTGAGTAGTTTTTTTTTTCAAAATGATCAAAATACCCTTGGACCAAATTTGAAAATTATGTATACCAATTCTGAAAATTTGAATATATATATATATATATATATATATATATATATATATATATACACACACACACACACGCATACATACACATATATGTATACACACACAAACACACACACACACACAAATATAATTTTAGTTATTTATGGATTTTCTAATGTTTTCATTTATTTTGATCCAAGTGAATGAACTTAAATTCAATAAATCATGTGAGAACCATTTTTTTTCATTCGTGAATTGAACTGGTATTATTTTATTTTATTTTTTATAATTTTATGCTGTTAAGGTTTATATTTTTTTTTGGATGCTCCAGAAATAACTGAATTTGTTATTTTCATTTATTTAAAATAATAATTAGGTTAAAGTTTATATTGAATTATGTATTTTAAAATTTTCCATAGTAATATACTCTATTATATTCATAAATTTTAAACTTTTAATTTTTTTTTGTTATTTTTTTAGTTTTTTTTTTCATATTATGTTTTAATTTTTCTAACTGATTTAAGTAAATAAAAAAGTTATATTTATATTTGTAATTTCCGTCCAACTTCTTTCTTTATATTTTTTTTGTTATTTAGTGGCTATTATATTTATGTTACGACAAATTAAAATTAAAAAATCAAACACTTTGTTTATTGAGAATCAACTTTCAATGTGTGATATTTGCGATTTATAATTATTAATATAAGAAAATTACCTACAAATTTTAAAATGTAACTTACAAATTAAATCCTATTTCTATATGTGATATCAATAGTTCAAATTTCAAAATAATATTTTTCCATTTGATAATAGACTAAAATAAAGAATATAAGAAATAATAAGTGTTAGACTCTATGATTAGTTTAATTATATTTTTTAATAGTTCAAATTCAGATCCGAATCAAATTGGATCAAGAACCAAAGAACTGGGAACCGATTTAGTAGGAAATGAAAAAAAATGTCAAATAATGATAATGATAACTGCAAACTTAAAATTGCTAACGATAATAACTATGAAAACTTTTGAAACACATAATTCAATATAAACTTTAACCTAGTTATTGTTTTAAATAAATAAAAATAACAACTTTGGTTATTTGGTGGAACATCCAAATAAAAAAAAACATTAACCATAACAACATAAAAAAAAAAACATTACCGATTTAATTCACAAATAAGAAAAACTAAAGAAAAACGGTTTTGACATGGTTTATCGAATTTAAGTTCATTTACTTGAATCTAAATAAATAAAAATATTAGAAAAACCATAAATAATTAAAATTATTTAAAAAAATAGAAAATAAAAGGTCAAAAATATAAAATAATTATCAAATTTTGAAAAATAAAAAAAACGAAAAAAAGTTAAAATATATATATATATATATATATATATATATATATATATATATATATATATATATATATATATATATATATATACACACTTTAACTTTTATATATATATATATATATATATATATATATATATATATATATATATAATTTAAATTTATATTTATATTTATATTTAACATTTATAAAAAATTTCAAATTTTCATAATTAATCCTTAAGGTATACATAGTTTTAAGATTTGGTCCAAAGGCATTATGGTCATGTTAACACATAATCACCATTCATGCAGTTTTCAAAACCATAAGGACCAGAGGCATGATTTTTTTTCATAGCAATATTTTAAAAACCAGACCAATTATGAAACTTTGTCAAAGAAATATTTTCAACCATTTAAAATTCAATATAAATTGGCCGAAGAAAGGAATGTATATGAAGGGATCCTAAAAGAAAGGCAAGCAGGCGGGAATGGCGGCGATTCAATGGACGTATGAAACGAACGATAGAGAGAACATTGCTCTCCAATCAAGCGTAAATTGCTCTTCTTCTCCTCCATCTGTATATAAACGTAATTCATTTCAATTTAGATCTCAGCTTTCAATCGTCAATTCCACAAACAAATCGAAGATTCGTAGCACGCAGTCGAGAGAAATTGAAAATGTCGTGGCAATCATATGTGGATGATCATTTGATGTGTGATATCGAAGGTACTGGTCACCATCTCATCTCCGCAGCCATCATTGGTGCCGACGGTAGTGTTTGGGCTAAGAGCTCTGCTTTCCCCCAGGTATCTCACATCTGTATCCCTTAAATCTTATATTTTCGATCGTGATTTCGTGATTCGTTCATGATTCTGTGTTTTGATGTATCTAGCGATTTGAAATTCCATTAGTTGTACGCCATTGATCTGGATGATTATAATCATTTTCTGTTGATAAGGATTTAAATATGATGAAATGTGCAGTTGAAGCCTGAGGAGGTGACTGCTATTGGGAAAGATTTCGATGAACCAGGTCACCTTGCTCCAACAGGTTTATTCATTGCGGGCACAAAGTACATGGTGATCCAGGGGGAGCCTGGAGCAGTCATCCGTGGAAAGAAGGTAATTCCGTCAATGGAAAACACGATTTTGTAGAACAATTCAATGTCAAGAATTAAGAAATTGTTTGATGATTTGTCAGGGAGCTGGAGGCATATGCATCAAGAAAACTGGACAGGCAATGGTGTTTGGGCTGTATGATGAGCCTGTGGCTCCTGGACAATGCAACAAGGTTGTTGAGGGGCTTGGAGATTATCTCGTTGAACAAGGCCTCTAGATCTTTGTTCACCTACTTTTTCCCTTGAAAAGAGTTATTTCTTTTTGATTAATAGATTTTGAGTCAATCCCTTCATTTTCATTCATCATGTGACATTTATAAATGTTATGTGATAAGGAATATAATTTATTTTATTCTAATTGCAATCTACTTGTGTAGAAGGTGATTGTTATATAATAAGGATGATAATATGTATATCTAATAAACCCCGAGGTCGGAGTTGTTTAAACTGTTGCGCAAATCATCAAATGAAATTCTTGGGAGAACTTTAGTAAAGATGACAAGGCATGTTCATCTTGAGAAAGCATGTGTAATACCCAAACTTGTATTTTGGCTACTTTTTTCTTGAACAAAGTGAAAGTAAAGTTCAATATGTTTTGTTTGTTGATGTTGATTAGGGTTTCCAGATAAGTAACTAGTGCTCACGTTATTGGAATACATTATCATGGCCTTCAAAATTGGTATATGTAGCTCTAGCAATAACTTTCGAATCCACGACATTGGCTACTCTTCGACATTCAGCATCTACATTAGATCAAGATATAGTAGATTGTCTTTTAAAAAGACCAAGAAATGTGATTGTCACCCACAAAGTCTTTAGAATTAATGGATTCAAAATGATTTAAAAATCTTATAAACGCTGGATAAAATTTTAACTAAAATTAACGCCCATGTATCCACTTGGATCAAATCTGATCAACCAAAACAACCATATGGGTTAAACATATATACCTTTAGGTTGTAGAAAGGTGGTTTGGATATTAATGATAATATAAATAGAACATAATGATTAATTCAACAAAAGTAAAACTGCAAATAAATAATAAAAAGTTCAAGTTCTACATTGTAACATATTAATAGTAAGTAGTAACCTTTACAAAAATAGTCTATGTGGTTTTTTTAGATTAATTTTCGTTCTTATCTTTTTTTTTTCTTCCTTGCATGCATGGTCTTTGTGGTTTCAATTTTTTTGTATGGTGCATCCCTCACCCATATAAAATGACTTTTATATCCTTTATATTTATTTTAATTAATTTTAAAGAAAAATATAAAAATATCACCACATCCCCCATAAGACCCTAATCGGCTACCCCCTCCCCTAATCATATGTGTTCATCTTCATCACCATAGTCACCCTTTTCTTTCATTAATCGGAATAAAGTTGGAAGATCACCACCTTTCTCTAAGGGATTTGCTAAAGAAAATGCAAAATAAATCCTTAGGGTAGAAATCCAAAGGGTACTAAAGACTTCATCTTTCTCCGCCTGATATTCAGACACATGTATGGGCTCCGTTAACTCTCTTATTGATGGTAGAAATCCAGAGGGTGTCGGCTATGTCCCTCAATCTGTTCAGACACTTCGTCGATGAACACTTCGAAACCACCTAAGGCAGCATCACATGAGATAGAATCAAGGAAAATTGTTTGTGCAAATCGATACTAATCATGGATCATATCTTTCCCTAAATCTTCTACGAATTCATTTTTGATCAATTATATGATTGTTACACATAAAAACTTTCAATTCGTTTTCCAAATTGATGACTTGTACAATACAACTTAATGAAGCACTAGGGCAACCAATTGATCCATTTTCTATCCATACAGATATAATGATGGTGATGGAGATCTTATAAGTTATGGAATAAATGATGAGATCTATGATCAACGGATGATAGAAGAGATTATAGATTGGCTAATGATTATGAGAGTGGTGGTGGTAGTGTGATCAAGACTGAAAGAGATTACATATTTGTTTTCATATCATAGTCTTTTTTTCGTTTGTTTTGTCTTCCATCATTCCATTATGTTCTAAAACAAAATGGCGATCGGTCTTAGTTAAAGCTCAAGTTCCCTTGAAAGTCGTATTTTCTTCTCTACATCAAACTTATTTCCTAACTCGCTTCACTTGTTCCATTTTTAGTCTTTTCTTTTCCTCGCCGCAAATAATCCATCATCCAATAATTTTTTTGGCTATTGTGATGAAGATAAACACAAATGATTGGGGAGGAGGTAATCCATCCGGGTTTTATTTGTTAAATTAAAATATAAAATGAAAAGAAAAGGACAAAATAGTTATTTCATATGAATAAGGGACCAACCATGCATAAAAATTAAACCATACAGGATTCATATAACTAAAAAAAATTAAAGACAACTTATGAATTTGAAAAATAGCAAAGACTATTTATATAAGTTTGTCTATTAACTAATAAGTATTAACAATTATATTTTTGAGTAAATTACACGACTGGTCTTGTGGTTTGGGGTAATTTCCGCATTTGATCCCTAGTTTTAAGACATAATTTTGTTGCATGTTTGGTCTTGCCAAACCTAAAAAGATTGTATTACCCTTTTTATTTATTTTTTAGTTTGCTATATATTTATTTATTAAAAAATATTATTAAAAACAAGTAGGGCCCACAGCTAATAGTTTATTATTATTATTATTATTATTAAATAATATATGAAAATCACAAACTTAATCTTTCTCTCTCCACACTAATATACCAGGTGATTCACCCATCACTGTGTAACCACCATTAATCCACTTATGCCACCACCATCATTATGAAATGAAAACCAAAACCAAATCAAAACTTGTAAGCAAAAACTACAACCAAAACAATCCAAACCTGCAAATAAAAACAAATCAAAATCTACAACCAAAATCTACAACCAAAATCTACAACCAAAAACATACACGAAATCCCACCTGAAACCAAAATCAAACCTAAAACTCTACAATAAAGATTATATGGTGTTATTTTTGGTTAGTTGAATTCGAATCTAGTGGAGAAGGAGAAGAAAAAACAATAATATGCGAATATGATTTTCTATAGACGACTCGGTTGAAGACAAATAACTTTTGACCAAAATTTGGCCCCTTTCCCGTTCTACATGATTGTGTGTATTTCCGGTTAACCCAAGGTTAGCAAAAACGAGTTGTGTACACATGGAATTGAAACCAAGGCGGCGAGATTAAGGCGTCTTCGTCACTAGAGACTAGGGTCGGCGGGATCGAGGAAGGAAGGTTGCTTCTGACTCTTAAACGACCACCGAACTATAGCTACCTCTATTTTTCTTCTCATCGGTCTCATGCACACCAACACCTAGCTCTGTGCGTTCTTTTAGCGAGTGGATTGCAGACCAGGCAACATTGGTTGCATCGATAGGTGGAACAAATCGATGAATGACGAGAGTTGGAGAGAAATAAATTTCACTATGGTAGCCGGCAACGATGGTGAGAACGTTGGGAGAGGAGGAAACGAAAATGGAGATGAACGTTGTTATAGTCAGATTTAGAAAGAAAGACGGTGGGAGGTGAGGTAATGGTGTAAGGTGGGTCCCACCTTATTAATTAATCATATTTTTAATAAAAAAAAAATAACAAATGAACAATGAACAAATGAAAAATAAAGTAAAGAAAGGTAATTTAGTTTTTTTATGTCTGTGAGAGATCCCAACGCGCAACAAAAATACATTCTAGGGACCATTCGAGTTTAAAAAAAATAGGGACAAAACATACAAATTACCACAAAGCACAGGGTCATTCGCATAATTTACTCTATTTTTAATATTGATAAAATTGAATCAACTAATTATTTTAAAACAAAGATTACAGTATTACACACGCTTAAAATGAGAAATCATCGTGATAAGTGCGTTTCACATTTTCATCGTTTCCGGGCACTCTTTATCTCCTTCCACCCCCGATTGTCGTTGAGATTTTGCACAATAGTCGGAGTAATAATCGGAATAACAAGATGTCGTGGCAAACTTATGTCGATGATCACTTGATGTGCGAAATCGAATGCAACCACCTCACAGCCGCCGCCATTATCGGCCTCGACGGTAGCATCTGGGCTCAGTCCTCCAACTTCCCTCAGGTTCAATTCCTCTCTCTTCCTCTAACCCATAATTTTCGCTTAATTTAATTTAGTTTTTCGTTCTAGACTAAGGTTCGGATCTGATTCAAATCGCTACTCTCTGAATTCAGATTTATTGGCTAATTTCTAGTGAAATCCTTGTTTTCTAGTTGACTTTGATCATTTTGAGTTTTCAATTATTAGGTTTTCAAGTTTTTTGAGGCTGTTAGGACCTTCGATATTTTGATATTTTCTGAAGATCGTATAACATTCAAATCAGAGTAAGGATGAATGACTGAATCAAAAATCCATTTTTTTTGGCGAATACTGTTATAGGTCAAGCCAGAGGAAGTTACCTGTATCATAAATGACTTCAATGAACCTGGATCACTTGCTCCAACTGGTTTATACCTTGGTGGGACCAAATATATGGTGATACAAGGCGAAGCTGGAGCTGTTATTCGAGGGAAAAAGGTTATAATTAAATTCCCCCTTTTTTGGCTCTAATAATCGACTGTTTGAACTGAAAATCAATATGAAAATGATCTGTTTTTGCAACTATTATTGGTATAGGGATCAGGAGGCGTTACAATTAAGAAGACGGGAATGGCTTTGATCATTGGCATTTATGATGAACCAATGACACCAGGTCAGTGCAACATCATTGTTGAAAGGCTTGGCGATTATCTCATCGATCAGGGCTTTTAATTTGCTTTTGTTCTACAAATTCTTTTTTTCCCCTTAATTTGTGTGGTTTTCTTTTGGTAATACTTTGTGAATTCGTTTGTGTACAATTTGTGGTTCACATGTATATGGTTTGATTCTTATCGACTAGTGAACATTTTTTTTTCTTGTTTTGTGTTTCATATTTGTGTATAAGAATGTTTTATAAGCATCGGTTAAAATGAAGCTAAAAATGCATCAAGATAAAAAGATGTAGGAATACCGCAAAATGTTGTAAATAACTAAATATGATGAGCAAGTATAACGAACAATAACACCAAAATATTGGTAGAAGCTGAAGGGGGAACAATGAAATATTTAGTTAGTTGAAAATAATAGCTTAGATCGAATTTTAAATTACAATTTAAGTCAATACAATTAAATTATACGTTATCATCATACAACGAATGAGAAGGCAAACGGACAACAAGTTGCGCCGCTAAGCCCTTTTGTATGGTAAAGTTAATTCTTTTGAAGACTACATCCATAGATCTAGGGGATATAACATTGTTATGCATGATCCGTGGGTCAGACAATTGTGGAAGAAGACGCATAAAATTCACAGCGCCTTCAGCTCTCTTTATGGCTAAGTTGCTAATGAAACTAGCATCTCTGGTAACAGCTCCCCCGAGAAGCTTCACCCCCAATGGCGGCCTCCCGATGCCAACTGGGAATAGCCCCTCACGCAGCTTCCTTCCATAACACGAGGGCCAAAAGAGCTCGGTTTTATTGATATTCAACTGAAGGCCCAATTTTGGGCCAATAGCCTTAATGATGTCTAAGGCTTTGGCCACCTCCTCAGAATCTCCAATAAGTGTGTCATCATCCAGGTACCAAGCATGGAGAAGAAGCTTGCAATTGTCTCTAATATTATGCAAGAGCGGGTGCAACACAAGGGCAAAGAGAAGTGGTCCCAAGGGGTCTCCTTGTTGAACTCCAATAGAAGACCAAATATGCGTGTCCCCTAGATATAACCTTGCTGATTGACCATATATGAATTCTACCTACAAGGATATAGAAGGGCACCTCAATCTGACCTCATGAAGTAATGCGGATCTATCAACAAGGTTAAAGGCATTGGAGAAGTTCACCGTAAGCATGGAAAGAGACCCGTCATTGTGGCGTTCACTTAACACCCTGTTGGCGCTATGTAATACAGCTTCAACGCCACCCGATACCCCGACCCCGAACTGAAAATCATTGAGATACTTGGCCATTTCTTTACCAACACCTTTCATAGCCAGCTTGGAAACCAAACGTCTCCATATAGTTCCTACTGCAATAGGTTGTATTCCCTTGTCAGGTTTTAGAAGCAGTGTAAGAGGAGCAGAGGCAACAAATTCCGCCAAACTCGAAGGGCATCCCCCTAGCCATAAATTAATCACTCATGTGATAGAACATAGGAGGTCTTTGGCAATTGTTGAACCTTCTCCACAAATAGCATCTAAAATGTGTTGAGCTCTCAACCCATCTCTCCCACACGAGGTTCCTTTAGGGAACGATTTAATGCCCCCAAGGACATTGTCAATATCAACCACAAGGGGAGGTACTAAACATATGGTACTCGGAATGGGTGGTGGTGGCTTATGTGGATGCTTATCTTCCAATGCCTTCGTGGTAGCATCCCCGTATGGAGCAACCCCCGAGGAACATAATACTTTCACTGCTGCTGTGAAATGCCCATCATCAACCTTACGAAGACATTGTCTGACGTTAGCGTCACCCCGTGTTCTATCCTCCTGAATGTACTCTTCTTTTTTTCCTTGTTGCTCCATCCTTGCATTGTCAACCAAGTTTTTAACAAGCTTGGCTATACCATCTTCTGTACCCTAAGTAGCTAATGCGCTTAAGATGTTACGATGTTGCAAGGACTTCCTGTTCCCAGACCTACTTTCTTGTCTATTCTTGGGCCTGAACACCTGAAGAGTACACCTAAGAAGAATTAACAATGTAACCCACACTTCAATGGACCCGGGATGAGCAACAACCTTGGAAAGGGCTGCTTTTAAAGCCTGAGAGAAAGCCATACGACAGTTATGAGGGATGCTTTTGACTGTGGTGATAGGTAGCTTAAACACAAGATCAAGGAGCTGAGCATCCAACACCAACCCCTCATTGAGGTTGGCATCTGGTTCATTGGGTGGCGGCTTTTATATTCCAACAATATGTTTGCTCATGTCATCAACATCACCATTAAATTTAACAAGACCACCTGAGTGTCGACACGAGCGGCTTAGGGCATGGAGACTCATACATTCTCCACATATCCATTGACCAAACTCCTTCAATGTTGCTGCCACTGACATAAACAGTCCAAGGTCTAAAGTAATAGCATCTCGCAACACAACTCTACGCTCATCCCTAGAGAGGTGCAAACTTTTGATATGAGAAATCATACGAGATATCCCCTTACAACCCACTTTACCGTTCGGGCAGCAATGAAACCCCCGAAAAGGACACGACCAAGTTCCGCTCGCATATGTATGAGAAGACGCCATAAACATATAAACAAATCTTATTAAAGCCTCAAGGGGAGGCTCGGAATGAGAAGCAAAAATCCCAAAGTAAAGTGTGACACTCCAACAAAAGGTTGGAGTGCACAATTAAAAACCACCCCGGAAGAGACTCTACATCTTTTTGGGTCCTAAAATGGCTGCAACACTTGAAAAAAAACCTTTAGACATTTTATCGAACACCTGGCGGGCAGAAAAAGAAGTGTATGATTTGCACCAATGAGGCTTGAGAATTTAACCCATGTATAATCCTCCACTTTAGTGATTGGATTTTTTAACTGTTGCACCAATCTTCGCGTTCAAATTACAGAGATCCAATGGGAATACAGCAAGCTTGCGTTCAAATTGTTTTTAAATCCATGAGAATTTTTGTGACGTAGGGTATTAATTAAAAAACTCTTGTGGAATCGTGGTACAGACTAAAGCAAAGACGGTGTTGCTCAGAGGGAATCTGTTTTGATTATATTCATATTTATATTTATGCCATAAACCTCGTGTAACAGAAAAACATTTTGAACAATAAATTTTTTAAATTTATCAACTTTATTAACTTTGATTATATTCATATTTATGCCCCAAAATACTACACCATGTAGGATGGTGGAACAGTGCTTCATACATGAGTACTAAGTCAAAAACTACATTTCTGAACAATAAATTTGTTAACTTTGCATATGCAATATCTTTGATTGATTCTTACTATATTTTTTGGAGACATTATATTGCTTCCTATCTTCATATTATACTTATAAAACAGACATTTTTCTTTGAACCTCATGCATTTGAAACCCCTTACAAAAATTTGCAAACACCAAATGCATTTGAAACCTTCTATTTTAATGAATACCACTCAAAAGTCTTTTAATAATGATTAACAATTCAAAGGTTTTATAACTTATATACTCCTATGTTTAATAAACAATTAATGGATAGTCTACTATAAAAAGGTCAATCTCTTTGTAGACACACAAATACAAATCACATACAAAATTCACAAAGAAAACAAGTTTACAGGTTTTTGTGTTGGTTTGAGGGTTTGGACCATTTTTTGAGTCATGTTATTATGTTGAAGTTTTTAATTTGTAAGTTTGTTATATACTAATTTCTTTTTATATTTTATTGGTTTAAGTATTCTTTTAAGAATATCATTGTACGTTGTGGTTGAAATTTTAATTTAAATTAGATTAGATTCATGTTATCGATCATATGTTATGGAAGGTGATATATATATATATATATATATATATATATATATATATATATATATATATATATATATAATATTTAATTAACTATTGTATACTTTGTATGTTCGTGTTTCAAAGCAATAATTAATTAAAAATTATAGATATGTCATATTATCCATATTATTCATGTAAGTCTCTTTTAAAATGCAAATTGTCTATATTATCACTTTATATTTTAATATATGTTTAACATTTTAATTATAATAATAAGTGGTTTTAAAATTAATGAGCAATAATTATAAATAATAAAATTAAATTATAAAAATGATGGATATGTCATTTTATCAATGCAAGTCTCTTTTGAAATGCAAATTGTCTATCTTATCACTTTATTATTTAGTGTATGTTTCGCATTTTAATAATAATATTAAGTGTTTCTTAAAAGTCTTCTTTAACTTATTATTAATAATAAGTGGTTTAAAATTATTGAATAATAATTTTAAATGATAATAACATCAGATTATGAATTACATTTACCTACAAGTAAATTGTATCTTAAATAAACATCATTATTGAAATTAGAAAAATGATCGCATAAGTAAAAAATATAATTAATCAATCATAATAATTGTTAAAAATAATACTAAATAGATAATTATATTTAGTTCTATTAATAAGGAATGTGAGTTGATGTCAATGAATATTATTGCTCAAAATAATTGAGATTATATATATATAAATTAATGTAAAAATATTATCTGAAAGTTAATGTCAATAATATAACCATTTTAAACACATATTTTTCAATATTTCAACAATATATTTTTAACCTGCGCTGCGCAACGCGCGAAAATTCGTCTAGTTTATGCATATAAATATTCTTATTCATTAAAATTATGACAAGTGTCATCATTCTATATTTTTTTTTAACTATCTCATTAAGTGTATATTGGGAATATATCAAATAAAATTAAATTAAATGGTAGAATAATGATATTTGCCATAATTTTAATGGGTAGAAATATTTATAAGAATAAAATGTAGGAAACAATTTAATTTCCGTCGTGACAAAACTGTACTTAAATAGTTAAGCAGGACACATCAGTTCTTACAAAAGTCATTAGTAAATTTGTTGTAATTTGTCAAATATACCACTTGCATGCAAAACTTTTTATAAATAACTTTAAGACCATACATAAGTGTACAATACATAAATATAGCAGTTACAAATAATATTTTAATAAAATGTCCAAAATCCTACGTAAATATAAATAATCCAACATTTTCAGCATAAAAAATAGTTATTTAATTTTTATTAATAATTTAATTCGAATTATTGAATTCGTGATAATATTTAGAAACTCCCGTGAGATGTGTCCTGCTCACTGGACGACATTCTTATCCTCTTTCATTTCATTTTCACAAAAAGCGACATTTTCAAATTTCAATTCACGAAAAAACAATAGCCACTTAAGTATACCAACTACCACAAC